AGGCGAGCAACAGCGTCACGAGTGGTCCACTGCGAGCGAACCGTACTGTCAGCAGTGGCAGCAGGTGCAGTAGAGACACCGGACGTGTGATCAAACAGGGATACCCCATCCCTAGAGTCACACTGAAGAAAGAGTTGCAGGTCGTCAATCCACACGTCAAAGTCAACTGCACGCCCCTCAGCATCAAATGTGAGAACAGTAGGGCTAGCCATAGCAGCAGTAGCAGCAGTAGCAGCAGTAGCAGCAGTGGCAGCAGAAGCAGTGCAAGCAGAAGGGCAGCGCGGCTCGGCAGGGCAGCGCGGCTCGGTTCCTAGCGACGCAGCACGGCAGCAGGTGGCGCGGCGCGGCAGGGCGGCGCGGGTGCTTACCAGGGGCGGGTGCAGGGCAGGGCCGCAGCTGGCGGTTTAGGTCAGGGCCGCGACCGGGGCGGCAGCAGGGCAGGGCCGCGACAGGGGCGGCTGCAGGGAAGAGCCGCGACTGGGGCGGCGGTAGGGAAGGGCCGCGACAGGGCGGCTGCAGGGCAGAGGCCGCGACTGGGGCGGCAGTAGGGCAGGGCCGCAACGGGCGGCAAAGGCAGGGCCGCGACTGGGGCGGCAGCAGGACAGGGCCGCGACAGGGGCGGCTGTAGGGCAGGGCCGCGACTGGGGCGGCAGCAGTGCAGGGCCGTGACAGGGCGGCTGCAGGGCAGAGGCCGCGACAAGGCGGCTGCAGGGAAGAGGCCGCGACGGGCGGCAAAGGCAGGGCCGCGACTGGGATGGGCCAGCGACGGGCGGCGACGGGCTGGCGACGGGCGGCAACGGGCCGGGACGGGCCGGCGACGGGCCGGGACGTGCCGGGTCGGGCCGGTACTGGCCAGCGACGGGCGGCGAAAGGCAGGGCAGGGCCGCAGTGGGCGGCTAAGGCAGGGCCGCGACGCGTGGCGACGGGCCGGGACGGGCCGGGATGGGCCAGCGACGGGCTGCTAAGGCAGGGCCGCGACGGGCCAGTGAAGGCAGGGCCGCGACGGGCCGTACTAGGGCAGGGCGCGAGGCGCGTTTCGGGCAGGGCGCGAGGCGCGCTTCGGGCAGGGCAGGAAAAAAAATTCGTGGTGGGCCCTAAAAAAAAAAACGTTCCCACTAGGGAACCTGCTCATAATACCATGTCAGAATAGTGAACGAATGAATGACTGAAGTAGCAAGCAGGTGGGTACAAGTAGAAAACCTAAAAGTGTTGTACCCTATATGAACTACCCCACTACAGCCTAGATAGACTATATAGCATATAAGTTTGACAGCCGCCTGCGCTGCTGCTGCCACCTGCGCTGCTACTTCTGCCGCATGCGCTGCTGCTACTGCTCAGCTGCTACTGCTGCTAGGCTGCTGCTGCCGCCTAAGCTGCTACTGCTGCTGCTGCTGCTCCCGTCTGCGCTGCTGCTGCTACTGCTAGGCTGCTGCTACCGCCTGAGCTGCTGCTGCTGCCTGCGCTGCTGTTGCCGCCTGCGCTGCTACTGCCGCCTGCGCTGCTGCTACCACATGTGCTGCTACTGCTGCGCTGCTGCTGCCACCTGTGTTGCTGCTGCTGTTGCTAGGCTGCTGCTGCTGCTGTTGCTAGGCTGCTGCTGCCGCCTGAGCTGCTGCTGCTGCCACCTGTGCTGCTGGTGCTGCTGCTAAGCTGCTGCTCCTGCCTGCGCTGCTGCTGCTGCTAGGCTGCTGCTACTGCTAGGTTGCTGCTGCCGTCTGAGCTGCTGCTGCCACCTGTGCTGCCGCTGCTGCCGTAACTGCCGCTCCTGCTGCTTGCTGTCGTTCCTGCTGCTATGTCGACTCCCACTGTTCTAGCCTTTGACACAATGGGGCAGCATCTAGGGTTCGACTCCTGGCTAGAGGGGCTGCACCTGTACCTCCATAGTGTCACTCGCGAGGACGTCTCACTGTTCGAGCATACGTCGGGGTCTCTTCAGACCCCCAAGGCTCCTGCTGAGCCTGCTGCTGATGCTGGGAAGGAGGTGCGGACGCAGTTCCGCGCAGCTCACATTGCCTACAAGCGGTGGATGGCGCGAGACGCCGCCGCCACACTTGCAGTCCGCCTTCACCTCTCGTTCGACCAGAGAGCCAACGTTCGCTAGGTGTCGTCGGCCCATGCTATGTATTCCGCTGTGGTTAGGCGCTACTCCCCCCCCCCTCCTGCAGTCCTAGGCTGTCTTGCGCTGCCTCTTACCTTCCCTGCACTGTCATACCTCATCACTGTAGCTAACGAGAGTGGTCGTAGTGGAGCTGGCGGGAGTGGCGGGGGCGGGCACCAGGAGTTAGAGCCTTCATGTGTCGCTGCTTGTGCGCCTACTAGCACAGTCTATGCGCACCCCTCCACTGTTCTCTCGTGTCTCGTAGTCCCGTCTGCCTCCTCTGGCTCGACCGAGGCGGATGACCCTACTGCTGCCGACACAGCGACCTCTCGCCGCTCGCCGCGCTTGGAGACACCTCCGGGTTTTCCGCCTCGGACGTCTTCGCCTCCTCTGCAGCCTGTCGCTGCGGACTTCGAGGGCCCAGGTGTTGTTGGGGGTGGTGATGTTGGGGGTGCTGGTTCTGGGGGTGCTGCCTCTGGGGTTGCTAGGAGTCCTCTTGTTGGTGGAGTTGGAGGTACTGGCGCTGGAGGTGCTGGTGCTGGAGGTGCTGGGTCTGGGGGTGCGTTGCAGTTGCTGCCGCAGCGGCCTATCTTCTTGGAGCAATTGTCGTCGTCGCTACCTGAGCCGACGCCCACTTGTACTACTCCTCCTCTGTTGTTTCCACTGCCTGAATCCCCATTGCTTGCTCATGTCTCTCAGTGGGAGAAAGCCGTCAGGAATAACAGGGGCGCCATCGTTGCGATTAATCTCCCAGCAATGTAGAGAATGTTGGAACGATGACACGTGTCAACAGGTGAGACGTCGAGATTTGAGCCGAATGGACAGGGTTCTGAGGCGATGACATGTGTCAACAGCCCATGCGACGAGCTAGTCATTGTCCAAGGTTTAGGGTTCCCTCCATCCTTTCTCTGAAGTCAAGTCAACATTTGATTTTGCCGCCTATTGCCGTTTCTCCCTTCTCATCTTCCACATACCCATGGCGTTGCCGCTTGCGATCGGACCTCCCGCCCCCCTCGCCGTATGCAGCGGCGCCTTCCACGACGGCCGAAGCGGCGAAGAATCCGGTGGCCGCGACGTCCTTAGCAGCTCCCGCGGAGAATGTCACGGCGGATGTCACGGCGGCCTTCCCCATGTCCATGTCGCCATCCCCTCCTTCGTTCTTCGCCTTCCGCTGTTCACCATTTTCGCCACTTTTCTGAAGAGTGGTCTCCGCAAGATATCACCTAGACAATTGAAGGGAACTAATATGGTATTCCAACGCAGGGAAACCATGAGAAGTTTGGACAGTTCGAGCGTTGGAATACTGAAATTGTCTGAATTTCAGCGTTTTTCCGTGCTGCATGTCTACTCCCCTAGTTCAACGTAACATGGACATGATGCTACAGGTGATGCCCACCCCATGCACGCGAATTTGCTCTGCACCGGATGGAAACGCTGCACCTGAGGTTTTTTCCCCAGCCTGTTGCACCCACGTTACAAGCTCGTCGCGTGGTTATGAACCAATAGCAACGAATAGACCGAAGTCAAACAGAAGAGACTGAAGTCAAAATGTCAACGGATAAGGTTACAGATCCTTTATATAAGCACCTGCGAATCCTTTTTAGCCAGCTGCGAATTGACGAAACTTTTGCGAAATGCACGTTACAGCTTATAAGCCCCCTTCACAAGGCAACCGGGAGTGGCTCAAACAGGCATCATGTGTACGAAAATTGCAATTTTGAAATATACACACGAATTTCTGAACCATTTCAGTACGCCACACCTTACACGTGTCAGTGAGTTGAGTAAGCGCGACTGAGTGAGTTCACCCAACTCATCGAGACTAACTGACTTATGACTCAAGAATGGGTTTGAGAATCCATCCAGGCTTTCAAACTAAGGGAAAACATCCTAAGTAGGCCTTCATTCTAAAGCAGATGAAAAAAACAACCACTTGCCCCAACTTTGGATGGTGTCCTTGTGTTGGAATACGATCTAAGACTGTAGAGAGCTAACTGCACGGGTAGAATTGAAGTGCGAGGTATTTCGTGGCTTTGGAAAGATTGGGTTTGGTGGGTTTGTTAGTGTTTCTGCTTGATACTTGCGCAACCGCGGCGGAGCACCATGCGTGCAGAAGAAGAAACAACATAAGATTGCAGGTCCGAGCTAGTCCGAGTTATGCGGTTTATAACGATGGTGCGCATTCCAAAGCGGTTTTTCATATTGGCCGTCCTGAACGCGAAGTTTAAAGGAACAGATGTATGACGGTTGTGTGCGTAATAACATGGTCTATTCTACACTTGTTTCGGTTTGGACTCGGACCATCCTTGGTTGCTTCAGTCGGACGGACCATCCCAAGTTGCATCAGCCGTTCGATATTCCTGAGACTGTACAGTATGTTCATACTAGCGCCAGCGTCAGCTGCCGCTCGTTCCACGCAAGCGAGCTGCCCGCGGGCAAAACAAATAAAATACCACCATTCATAAAGTTGATCACCGGGCCGTGAACGATTCTTACGAACTAGCGAAACTGCGGCGCGGCTCACTGTTGCAAAAGATGGATCTGCAGATGAGACGCCAGCCAGCCCTTCGGGGTCGGGGTATAAAAACCATGGAGGTGAACCATTTCTCGGAATTGCAAAAAGGCTTCTCTGATCAGATCTCAACACAGCCGAATTTGTCAGTGCCTCTCTGAATGTGAAGAATGTAGCAACTTCGCCTCGAAGCCAGTCAACCCCGCGACGCCGAAGGACCCTGGCCATCGCTTCGCATCCCATCCGTATCCCACCCCCCACAGATTCGTTGCTATTGCTATCGTTTCACTGGAAACTGCGACGGAACACATCACCCCGCATGTTGGGCACATGGCTTCCTTAGATCTTCTGGATATCTTTTGCGACCTATTGGAAACCAACAGCAACGCAATGGACGCGGGCGGCTGGGCCGATCCTACTGGGTCCGCCGATGGAGAAGCGTTAGATGTTCTGTCCCACGAACAGCAAGTAGCCGAAATGCCTCGCGAGATACACGGCGAAGCGGGGGAGAACGGTCAAGTTGGTAATCAACCTGAAGATCTTCATGGTGAGCATTGCGGCGACCTCGACGCGGCAGACGCATTCTTGAGAAAAGGCACGACGGGACAAGCCTTGTTTGATTGCGATGGGATGATCTCCTCGCCCGCCACGTCGAGCGGCCCCTCTTCAGATTCTCTGCTCGCGACACACGCCGCAAATCCCGCCGCGATAGGCGGCGATTCTGCTCAGAAGACGAGGACTCCGCGTGTGGGCGTCGAATTGGCGTCGGCGGATAACGCCACGGCAGAGCAACAGCAATGCAGGAGCCAGGGTGGTGGCGTTGGCGTTGCCGTCGGTGGTAGTGTTGCTGGTGCTGATGCTGACGCCTCTGTCACTGTTGCTTTTCTTGATGCCGGTACTATCGCAAACGGCGACGCGACGGCAGATCGGCAGCCCGGGATCCCTGGCGTTGGCGTTGTAGTCGGTGGTGACGCCAATGCGGATGCTCATGCTATTTATAATGTTGACGCTGGTGCAAAAGGCGGCGCCACGGCAGGTCAGCAGCTAAGGAGTCAGGGTGCGGGAGCAGGAGCGGCCGCCGGTGATAGTGGTGGTGCTGATGCTGACGATGCGGGTGACGCCGATGCTTATGCAAAAGGTGAGACCAGCGCAGAGCAGCAGCGCGGGAGCCAGGGTGTTGGCGTTGTCCTTGCCGGCAGTGATGGCGGTGTTATTGGTGCTGGTTACGGCGGTACGGGGCTGACCTATACCGGAGTGCTGCAGCAGATCCAGGGGTGTGCGAGTGCTAGCAGCGACGGCGCCACGCCTGCATCAACCACCAACATACAGCGAGATTCGGTGCTATGTAACATTGTTTCGCTCGGGGGTGAGAATGGCGGATTTGATGACGCCACGGCAGAGCAGCAGCACGGGAGCCGGGGTGCTGGAGCTGGCGCCGCCGTCGCCGGTGGTGATACTGCTGGCACTGGTGATGGTGGTACGGGGCTGACCATCACAGGACAGCCACAGCAGAGAAAACGACACAAGGGACAGGCGTGTGCCACTGCTAGCAACGACACCGCTGACAGGCCTGCGTCGACCACCAACATGCGGCGAGATTCGGAGCAGAGTAACATCGTTTCGCACGGGGGTGAGAGTGGCGGATTTGGCGGCAGCAGCATCACTGCTGCGTGTGACGGCGGCAGCGGCATGCTGGTGGCCAGCGGCACGGGGGACGGCGACCGAGCTTCTTCTCACCTCTCGGGAACACCACGGGCGTCAAGCAAGGCTGCTCTGAACGAATCCGAGTCTCCTGTTTTCCCAGATTTGGCAAATTCCGTGAACGGAAATCTGGTCACCTCTGCAAATTCTCACAATCCGCAACGCGAAGCGACACGATTGATATGTGCAACGCGAAGCGGCGGGGGCATTATCCCGGCGTTCGGCGGGTCTGGATGTATCAATGGCTCTTCGTTTGACCCCCTGAGCATCCGTCCGACGTTTCGCCGCCCTCTTCTCCCTCTAGACTCTACTCAAAATTCAAGCCGCAACCACCTGGCAGAAGTGTCATACACCTTATCGAGCAACCTCCAGCATAACGTTAGCACCGCCTTACCTCCTCAACAACAAACGTTGCTATTTACGGGAAGCGCTTCAATCCCAGCAGTACAGTCAGCTTCAGCAGCAGTACAGCCGGGCAACCTAGAGCCCTTGGCAAGACGACTACGCGAGTTAAGGAAGAACGGCAACAAGATGGCGGAGCTTCACGGACCTACTGCCTCCAATCGCACTCCTACCACCCCAAACCATCCATCCACATCAGCATCTCCCACTACTACCGCTGCTGAGTCTGCTGCTTCCGGTTCAGATGCGTCAGCTTCGCATACGCCTACAGCTGCAGTCACGGGTTTGAGTGGTGCAACATACAGATGGCACAACAATGGAAATAAGATCATCGGTCGGAATGGACCAGATCCCTACTATAGGAAGTACTACTGCTGCAGTGAATCGAACTGTCCGGCGGCGTGTACCTTCGATTATTTTGACGAGCAGACATGGAGAATTACGGATCCGGGCACTCATAACCATGATCCGCCCGCGGGGATTGGAGAACGAGGTCGTTCACAGGGTTTGTAAAGCCCATTACATACCGTATATTCTGTGCCACTAAAAAGAGTGCACATTCTCCTATGTTATTTTCCTTTTGTGTGATAAATGTGTTGGGTTATTTACCGAGTGCTCTGTTCTGTAGAGTCTATTGCATACTGTAGATTCTGTGCCACAAATGCCGTTCATACGATGTGCTGTGTTATCTACTAAGTGCCATGTTTGTGCAACGAGATGATGAGGGCCTTGAGGGCATACTTACACACAGCACGGAAGTGGAAGAGAAGGAGACTACAGGCGAAAGGGAACCCGCAGGGAAACGAGAAAAGGTGGCGGATGTGGAGCAGCTGTCATCGCAATCACGACCGTTGTAGTCACACTCGCTTGTGACGTCACACCCAGAGCTGCGGCTGCGGTTTCCCTGCGGGCCTGTGAGTCCTCGCGGGCTCCAATTAATGTCTCGCCGAAGCCGTGCGGAGAGGAGAGGAGAGCGGAAGCGGCATTTACATCTGGCCGTTGGATCCCATGTTTGTAGTGCACCCGTTGATATTAGGCGTGATGCCGGCTTCTATATCGAGAAGTTTATGTTGACTAGTTCAGGACGTTGAGAAACACAGGTTCAGGACGAGCAGGGGAATGGAAGGAGAAGAATGTGAGAGGTACGTAAGGATAGCTCGAGGCTGAAGATAGTACTCGTAGAAATAATTACGTCTGGACGGAACAAAACAGACTACATGTGTGTCAACTAATCTCAACCAGCTTATGCTTGACTCCATCTCGGAGCTAGTGTGAACATACTGTACAGTCTCAGGAATATCGAATGGCTGATGCAACTTGGGATGGTCCGTCCGATTCCAACAGCAACATCAACGTCTGCAGCAACCAAGGATGGTCCGAGTCCAAACCGAAACAAGTGTAGAATGGACCACGTTATTACGCACACAACCGTCATACATATGTTCCTTTCAACTTCGCGGTTCAGGACGGTCAATATTAAAAACCGCTTTGGAATGTGCATCATCGTTCTAAACCGCATAACTCGAACTACTCGGGTGGTACACGTCGCTAGGGTGGTGCTCGATGCGCGGCTCGGGCTGGCAGGAGCCGCACTTCTATCGCGAGTCGACACGAATCTAAAATTTCAAACGCGTTGAATCCTGAAGAATTATTGGAATATCAGTGTAAAACAAATATATTACGGTACTTTGTTTTCGCAGGCTACGGTCTGGAAATTATAAAGGAATTTACTTAAGATGAAAAATAGAGAATGAACTACAACGTTAATATCTGGTGAGAAGGTTCGGGCTTGATTGTGTTAAGGCTCTACTTGATTAGATAGTGTGTAAATCCAAGCACTCTGAGTTTTTTGTAATTGATGCTGGGATGTGTAAGCCAGGGTACCAATATCGTAGATGCTACAACGGTCTTGCGCGGTACATCTGCACAAGATGCTCCACTTTTTTCAGATCAGCCCCAAAATGTTTCGGACCATCCCCGTTTTCTGTCAGTCGTCGACCTGATTGTGAAGTGGTTGTTGACCTGATTGTTGCCCCTAGATGTTGATTGGGTGAAGTGAAATGAACAAACGCAATTGCGAATCCAGACTCAACGCATTCTCTCTGTTGTCGCTACGAAATAACGATGAACCTGTTGTCGCTCGCTTTCTGCATCCCTTGTCTTTGCCACAAGCCAGTTACATATCGGAGGTAAAGAGTTGCGTGGCGCGATATTCGGGGGACATGCGGCGCGGTTCGCTCCCCCCCCCCGTCATGTTGGCTCAATGCTCACCTCACTCATCACCATCCTCCTAGTTCTCCCAGTTCCACCACCCTTCAGCGCGTTGGCGGAAGTGCTGCCCGCAACCCTGTTAGGTGGAGACTCTTGGCAGAGTACAGAGTGTACAGCGTGGGCATTGGTGGCGCGGTGGCGTTCGCGTCTACTCCACGTTCACGGACCTTCCCGCCATCACCAGACACACCATGCCATCCCACGCCATGCCAGATGGCTTACAGTTGGGACGACACTCTTTTCCTTGAATCACCGTCAGGCATCGTTTCACTTGACCACTCTCCTCAACGAAGAAATCTTGAGGCACGAACGTTCTGCATCTGCCTCTGACGTTGATGCGTTGAAACTTAGACCTTTTAGTCAACCCTTGGGTATTCAGTGTTGGTCAGCGCTTCACTAGTTGTCAAACCTCACCGCTTACCTCAGTCTCAATCACGAAGCAAGTCAACCCCGCGTTTTTCATTGACCCGGAAATCGAACCCCATCCTATCCCACCCACCCAAACCGACTGGACACTACCAAACCCCTGCTAGTACATTTGAACAAATCCAACTCGATGAGTAACCACGATCGCTTCTTCAATTCGCCGTGCTTCAGCAACGGCTTGTGGGAGGCCCCACCCGAAGCCATCAACACCAGCGACTGGGCCGACACGTGGCCCGCCGATACCGCTGCCTCAGCGCCCGCCGTTGGAGACGGCTTGGAACTCCCAGGCGGTGGCGCAGCGGCGCTGTCAGAAATCTCGCCCTGCGAACCGCTCTACGGAGACCTAATCGACGAACAGCACAGCGAGCAGTTACAAGGCGAGGCGATGATAATTGGAGCGGTTAGCAGCGCGGAGCAGCGACGCGAGGTGTGCGTCTCGAGAATCCTTGCCGAACTTCAGGCCGGCGGCGGCGCCGCAGCGGCGCTAAACGAGAGCTCCACCGCGAACGCCGCCGCGAGCGCCGCGGACGGCGCGAACGCCGACTCGACGACAACGATGACGGCGGCGACGCGGGCGTTTCCACTGGCGCTCGCATCATACGGCGACGCGATTCGCAGACGATCGATGAACGACTTGGAGTCCCTTCGTTGCCGTCATGATGATGAGGATCAAGTTGATCCTGATGATGGCGGACTCCGTAAAATCTGGGGAAGAAACGACACGACGGGCCACTCGCAATCATACCATACTGGCGAATCGTTCATCTGCCCTCCCGCCACGTCAAGCTTTCAAATTTCCGGCGCTTCTTTTGAAGCTCTACGCGCGGCGCACGCCGCGTATCCCGCCGAAATGGATCTGACAAGGGCTCACCATTCGGATCATCGGATTTTCGAATCGGAGACGCTGCTGATGGGCGGCGAGACTGTTCGACCCGATCGGCAAACGGCGACTGCGCGGCGGCTGGGAGTCGACTTATCCCAATCGCAGCGCCCGTGGTGCGGCAGTGTGCCGCGAGATCCCTCACAGTGGGATGATCCGCTCGAGGCATATGGTGACGCTCAGCGTGACGCTGCCGACGCTGCGAACGCGGTTTGCATGAATGCTCTTTCTGCCGCCGATGCTGGAGTAAATTTTGAAGCGACGGCAGAGCAGCTGCGCGAGAGCCAGGGCGCTGGCGCTGACGTTGCCGCCGGTGATATTGCTCGTGCCGGCGATGGTGGTACGGGAATGACCCTCACAGGACTGCTGAAGCAGATGAAGCAACGCAAAAGGCACGCGGGCGCGAGTGGTCACATCGACGGCGCCAGGCCTGCGTCCACCACCGACATGGCGCAAGATCCGGAGGTGCTGTGCAAAATCGTTTCGCTGCGGGACACGGCGAGCGAGAATAGCAGCTCTGGCAGCAGCAGCACAGCCGCTGATGAGGAGGGCGCCAGCAGCAACAGCGGCCTGGGGGATGGCGACCGATCTTCTTCCCCTCTCTCAGGAATCGCACAGGCTTTAAGCGATGCCGCCCTTGACGAACCCGAGTCTCCTGCTTACGCCGAAGCGGTAACTCATGCGGTAACCGCTCCGAATCCCACGCCGACGGAAACCGCCAATATGAGAACCCGAGTCCTCTTTGCAGTGGAAACAGCTGTCACTCTTGTCCCGGCCATGCCAGCCTTGAGCGAGGGCCCCACCTCTCCAGAGAGCATTAGGCGCAAGGCCATGTTGGCCGCGCTGCTTCAATCGTCACTGGCAAGGCGAAGGGGTGAAGGCGGTATTGCGTATGAGCCAGGAAACGGAAGTCCCTCTGCGGGATTCGCTCGAAGGTGCATGCTGGAGTCTACTCAGTATTCTGGCCAGTCGACCCAAGCGCCATCCACCATATTGAGCATCCCACGGTTCGTTACTGGCAACGCCATGCCTCTTCGATTGCCAGCGATCGAACCAACCAGAGGTGCTTCACCTCCCCTGGTCCAGTCAGCTTCGGCCGCAGAGCAGCCGGAGGAAGCTTCCAAACCGAGAGGGCCTGAAGCTTCCAAGGTGGGAGAAAGAGAAATTAAGGAGATACGCGAGAAGGGTAACAAGAGGGCGAAACTTATTTCTCGGAGAATGCATGCTCCTCACACGGGACTAAGGCGAGTTGAAGCAATGGAGGAGTATCTACAGGCAAGGAGCAATGCTGGCTGTAGCGGCAATGCCCATCCCACGCCTTCCGGTCCAGGAGCAATGCCCGGTCCCACGCCTACCACTCGAGCCACTCCTTCCGGCCCGGAAGCTCCCGCTCCTGCTGCTGCTGGTTTGGATAGAGCTGCTTGCCATACGACTGCTGCTGGGAGCACGAACCCGAGCGATCCAAAATACCGATGGCACAACTATGGAAACAAGGTCATAGCTCCGAAAGGGGAAGCTCCCTTCTTAAGGAAGTACTACCGCTGCAGTTTGCATTCAGCTGGAGGCTGTCGGGCAACGCGAACCATTGATGTTGTTGATGGGCAGCCAGAAAAGATAACGTTCCAAAGCACACACAACCATTCACCACCTGTGAAGAAAGCAAAGCGGGGTCGGAGACAGGGTGTGTAAAGGCCACTACCAGTGCATACTGTGTGCGGCTAGAAACGTACACATTAATTGTTTTTTTTTTTTCCTGAAGTGTTGTTTAGCTCGCAATGAGATATGGCCACGTGTATTACAAAGACCCATCTCCTGACTTCACACAACACCATGCAAAGAAGCACAGGGAGGGCAGAAGCCTTGTGACCTACTCCTAATTTGGCGAGCTGCTATTGGTTACCCCTTGTGCATTGCACGCAGCAACAGCACACACAGGGTAACCAGCAGCAGCCCCCAAGCAGCTCTACCAAAACCATGTACAGGACTAACCACGGAATTGTCGCATGCCTTATTTGGTAACCAGTCGAGCGGGCGAAATCAGAGCCCTCTTTGCGACAAATTCTGTGCTGTGTGGTGGTTCAAGCGCGGGTGGGCGGGAGGAAGACCCCCGTGCCCGCGGTGTTCTGATGGGGAAGGAAGCGCGGCGGAAGGAAAACCCGCGGGGACTCCTCCTGTGGCTGCTGCGGTGCCGCGCACGGCTGCTGCCTTTGCTGCTGCTGCTGCTGCTGCTGCTGCTGCTGGAGGTACATCAGTTGCTGCAGGTGCATCTGGTTCAGGTACATCTGCTGCCAGTACAGGCTCATCTGCTGCTGCATCAACTGTTGCTGCTGCTGGTACTGCACTTGCGGGTTCGGGGGGAACGCGGCAGATCCGCAGACGCGCGCAAGAGGCGCGGGCGAGGACGCAAGGTAAGGGGCGGGGGTGGAGACAGCAGCGGGGGGGAATGCGGGCCGACCAAGAATGCTGTCGGAAGAGACGTTGCTGTTCGCGAAAGCTGCGAGTTGCGAGTGCGCGATACCGGACGAGTTTTCGCGAGGATAGAGGTCGAGGTCGTCGGGCAGATTAATCTCGTCAGCATCAGATTCGCTATCCGCTGAACCCACGCCGTCCGCAATATCCCCGTTAAAAGGCTCAACCGTATTCCAAGAAGCGACGGAAGCGCCGCTTCGAAGCACGGAAGTGGGAGAAAGCGAACCCGCGGCGGAAGATGCGGAGGAGCGAGGGGAGAGGCAAGAAAAGGTGGAGACGGTAGAGCAGCTATCGTCGCAATCACTCCCGTTAAAGTCACACTCGCTCGTGTCGTCCTCAGCTACTTGCACCCAGAGCTGCGGCTGCGTTTTCCCCGCAGGCTTGTCAGTCTGGCTAACGCTCCAAATGTTGTTTCCGCCGAAATCGTGCGGAGAGAGGAAGAGAGCGGAAGCGGGCTTTTGCATCTGGCCGTTAAATCCCATGATTTCAGTGAACCTATTAATCTTGGCGGCGGTGGTCCCGGCGTCTCTATTTAAAAGCTTATACCGACTCGATCCTTGAGAAGATCAGCGAATGAAAGCTAAACAGGGAGTGATGTTCGCAATGCAGGATAGTTCTGGTGCTTAGGTTTGAGTAGTTGCTTGATGACTGAACAAAACTGATTTTCTCTGTCAAATGATTTCAAACTACTTATGCTTTACCTGACAAGCAAAGAGGTTTTCCACGAAAGGCGCGGGGAGCTTCATTGGGCTGCTACAGTACTGCCTCTGCTCATACGAGGCTCGGGTTGGCGGGAGCTACGTTTCTGTCGTCGTCGACTCGAGTCGTCAAAATTTCAATGCGCGTTGAATCCCGAGGAATTGTTGCATGTGGGGCACCTGAAACAAATTTGGAGGAAAGGGCATGCGTGCCTGAAAGGCCACGGTGCAACGAAGCTGTACAGTATTTTGAGATTTCGGTTCGGTGAATCGGTGCCTGCCTCCATGCGAGCGGAATTTACCAGAGAAAATCTGCGTTCCACCGACCCCGAATCAGACGCGGCGCGGTTCTGACCGTCCTCTGCTCCATACTGCGAGTTTGCGACTCTGTACACGACGACTTCTGTCAGGAGGGCGACTGGGAGGAAGCTCCAACTACTCCCATCCCATCCCAACCCCCCCCCAAAACCCACGCCACCTCTTCCTATCCACCCACCCGCTGGACACTTTTCCACTCCCCCACAACCACAACTACAGTACAATTGGGAAAATGCTGGTGAGGCGTGTTTCCGCGCGCGCGGGTGTTCCACGTGCTGTGATGTGTAGAATTTGGACGGAGATGTCGTCCAGACTCCACACCACAACCAAGGATGGCCCTTCCTCACTTCGCTCACACTGTTGTCAAAGGGCACCCAGGTCGAAGGGGCGTACGCGATACAAATCAAAGGATGTATGTGGGAAACACTCCTCGTTCATTGCATCCTTACAAAGAGCTATGGCATCAGCTCAGACCTTTGTGGTCTGTTTTCAAGCTTCGCATCCATTCTTCTCTCATCATCGCACAATGCCTCCTAAGGGGAAGTCTAAGGCTCTGCCGGAAGCCTCGTCGCTGGAGGCTCCTTCCTCGTCATTGGAAGCGCCGTCCTCGTCGCATGCTCCTGCTTCATCTGATCCTACAGGCAAAGGCAAGGGCGAAGCTCTGGAGGAGTCAGTCAACGTGCCTGTTACTGAAGCACCTGCAAGTGGATCTGGTCTCTCCTTGGAAGAAAAGTTGAGCTCTCTTCATACGTCGACTCCTGATAGTGGTTTCATTGAAGATGAATCTGACGAAGAGCTTGGGGTCGAAGTCAGGACAGAGGCATTCAATCGTGTACGCTACACGACGATTCTGCTGTTACATGTGGCTTTTGATTTGGAGGTGGCTTCCGTCATCACCACGGTGCGGACACTGATGAGGCACATCTGGTCGTCTACACTCTCCGACGGTGCTGTTGACTCGGCGAAATTCCAAGAGCTTCTGCCGGCGTACGTGGCGAAGACCCGCTACAGTCGCCTGCAAGTCTCCCTCCTGGGCGAAGAAGACATTATGAGCATCAGGTCCAAGGAGGTAGACTACACGCGTCCTAACGGCACAGTCTTCCGGCTCTACTGGCAGCACACTGACGATCCTGAATTTTTGCGAGAGCGGGCGACGAACAAGCAAGCGACTGAAGTGGTGATCCGGGACGTACCTGCGACAAAGACGCTGGAGATGTTGCGGGAGCTGATGGTGGTCTACCAGTTACGGAACCGGAGGCAGTCAGCGCTCAAGGATGACATTTGCTTCCACCGCGTTCTGCATCCAGTCACCAGAGCTGATACTGATGTCATCAAGGGTCTTGTGATCCCTCATCCCGGCAACAGATACCGCTGGCACCATGTCTTTGAGGATCCCCTGGAGATCGGTCGTCGCTTCTTGGTCCAGTTCCCTGCGCTGTCTTGCCTGCTCTGCGGTGGACAGCATCATGACGTCAATCATGATGCTTTCACAACAGAGCGGCAAAATAATATAGGGAAGTGCGAAGCCGCTGCCTCGGGGAGGGTTCGTCGCATTAATGGTAACTGCTTTTCTCTGCATGATCATGCTTACCATGTTAGAATATATTTATATATAACAGCATGTAGTTCTAGCTGTAGTGTAGTTCTATTGCTGTCCTGTTAGGTGGTGCACCCTTTGGCTTGCTATAACTTGTAACTCTTCTCATAGTGAACACACATTCTCGTTCCTCCTTTGGTCAACACCCTCGACCTTCCTCTCGCAAATCTCCTAAGATTAAACCATAGGCTACTAAGTCTACTAAGCTAAGCACCTATTCTAACATGCTATCAGAGCTGGTCCTTCCCAGGACCTAATTTTCATGGGCCCACCAGTCACGCTGCCCGTCATGCAGCACCCCTGCCCGTCACGCGCCCCGAGCGCTTGGCGGTTTCTGCCCGTCGCACGCCCTAGGCGTGTGGTGGTTTCTGCCCGTCGCATGCCCCAGGCGTGTGGCGGTTTCTGCCCGTCGCACGCCCCAAGTGCGTGGCGGTTTCTGCCCGTCGCACACCCCGGACGTGTGGCGGTTTCTGCTCGTCGCACGGCCCGGGCGTGCGTCGGTTTCTGCCCGTCGCGCGCCCCCAGCACGCAACGGTGTTCTTCCCGTCGCTCGCCCCCAGCGTGCGACGGTTTTCTGCCCGTCGCGCGGGGGCCCCGTCGAAGTGCTTCCCGTCGTCCCCGTCGCCCGCTTCCTCCTCCCTCTCCTGCTTCGCGTGCAGCAGTTTGGGGGGGGGGGGGGGGGGAGGGTGTTGGGGGGACGCAGGAGTGGCAGTGGGGGGTGGTTGCACCTCCACCGCCCCGCTGCTCTGCTTCGTCACCAAGCCAGCAGCCCCCCCCTCCGCCTCTACCTTCCCCCCTCTGCTGCTCCTACTGCAGCGGCGGTCTCTGCTCGGCGTCTCGTGCGCCTCTGCCCGGCGCCTCGTGCGCCTTGCCCGCCCGCGCCCGCCCCATCAGATCGCGCACCTCGCCCCCCCTCCCTTCTCTGCCCTCTCCCTCCTGCATATGCAGCAGTTTGGGGGGAGGTGGGGGTGGTGTAAGGGGGAGGTGGCACCAACGGCACCACCCTGCCTCCTCTCTTTCACGGCCGCACCTGCTGGTGTGGGGGGGAGGGTGGAGTGGTGGGAGTGGTGGGGGTGGCGGGAGGAGCTACTGCCGCTGCCGCTCGCCTTCCCCTCTCTCTCCCTGCTGCGCGTGCAACAGTGGGGGGGTGGGTTTGGGGTGGCCGGTGTGAGCACCCAGCTGCCGCCCCTCCTCCTCTCTCTCTCTCACTGCCGCACGTGCCGCTGTGGGGGGGAGGGTAAGGGGGTGGCGGGCTTCTGGCCGCCGTGTGAAGGCTTGAGCAGGGACCACCGTGGGTTGGGAAGGCGTTGGAGGAAGGGTGGGGGGAAGGTGTGAGTTTCCAGGGGACGGTTGACAAGGGGGGTGAGGTTGAGGGGGGTGGCTGAAAGGGGGCGTGGAATTAGGGGGTTAGTAAGAGGGGCTCGCCGCACTAGGCTCCCCCCCACCTCCTCTCCTCCCTCACTCACCCTCCCCCCTTTGTAAAACGGGGGTTCGTAAGAGGGGTTCGCCGCATGGCTCCCCCCACCTCCTCTCCTCATCCCTCTCTCCCCCCCCCCTTGTAAAACGGGGGTTCGTAAGAGGGGCTCGCCGCGTGGCTCCCCCCACCTCCTCTCCTCTCCCCTCTCTCTCTCTCGTCTCCTCCTCGCATTCCTCTCCGTTGTCTCCCGCTGTGCAGGGTGTACCCCTTCAGGGGGTGTTATGCACAGGGCTATTCCTGCATGTAGTTAGGGGGTGTGTCATAATATATTTCTGCATAATTGCATGTAGTTCTAGCTGTAGTGTAGTTCTATTGCCGTCCTGTTAGGTGGTGCATCATTTTGGCTTGCTATAAGTTGTAACTCTTCTCACAGTGAACACACATTCTCGTTCCTCCTTTGGTCAACACCCTCGACCTTCCTCTCGCTACTCTCCTAAGACTAAACCATAGGCTACTAAGTCTACTAAGCTAAGCACCTATTCTAACATACCACTGTGTTTGTTCTTGTGCTAACTGTCAAGTCGTACCGTGCAGCTGCATCCCTTCCGGCTTCACCGCTGATAACTCCTATTCTGCCAGACCCGGCCATGGTGCTGATCTCCACTAGAGGGAACCGGGAGGAGTGGATCTGCACGCAAGTGGGCTGTGGGAAGGCGAAAGGGAGAGGCTTCATGACCGCGGCAGATCATGTCACCTCCGCAAATCACCTCATTCATCTGGAGAAGCTCGGTTCTGCGACCCGTGCCTCGCTCGAGAAAGCAAGTCTCAATGTCACGAAGAAGGAGTATGGGCTCTGAGGCAAGAGCAGCTCGGTAGACAGGCAGCAGCAGCAGCAGCAGTAGTCCTTTTAGTAGTCGGTGCCGTTCTCTTCTTTACCCTGTGGATGCGTAGGGGTTCTCAAGTTGTTATCAAATGAGTAAAAAAGGCCTTGTCAGTTTCGTGGGCCTTAACGTCAACGGCCTAGGAGATAAGACCAAACATCAGCGTGTCCTCGACTGGTCCAGACAAGCAGCCGACATCATTGTTCTCCCAGACACTAGGATAGCTTCAGATCACCCACTATGGTCTCACCCAACTTACAGTTTAGCAGCATCAACCTCTCCTAGATCGAAGGCTGGCGGCGTAGCTCTGCTTTGCATATCGCCTTTACTTAGCTTTTCCAGCGCGATAGTTCATCATTCAGGTAGATTAGTTTCCGCGGAGATCCATGGTCTTGGGCTACAACTTTCATTCATAGCCCGTTACATTTCGGCCAATGCGACCTCCCGCGTGACTTTCCTCCGTGACACTCTAGGTCCAGTAGTAGACTTGGTATCGCCGTCCAGTCACCTGCTCATCATCGGCGATCTTAACACCATAGAGGATCCAATATTAGATAAGTCATCGCGCATAGATTCCACTGCGGAAAATGACAGACTTCTTGCTCGTTGCGTTGGTTTCCAGCTCTCACACACTTTCAGGACGCTTAATCCAAGGAAACGAGAGTTCACTTTCTTCTCGCAGGCCAAGCAAGCCAGTATGCGTATCGATCGTGCTCTCACCTCTCACTCTCTTCTACCTCACCTGATTCAGGCTTCTCACGTTATGCTGGCGGATTACATTTTGGATCATAGCTTCGCGATTCGAGTGGCTCTTCGGATTGACGCCAAGATCTGCATCGGGCCGGGCTCTAGAGACTTCACGCGTCGATGGTCCACAAGCATGGGGTACGCCGGATTGTGGAAGCGACGGTAGCGAAGTGTGCTGTCATGGATGGCAGCAGCTTTGAGCTGCTTCTTTCGTGGTTGGCGGTTGGGCTCCGAGCGTTTGCGAAGGAGGAAGGCAAGCGAGTGAAGGCGACGGTGATTCGTCTTGTTGATGAGGTTGCGGAACTACGGCAGGAAACGATGCGGGATCCGTCTTGCAAAGTGACAAGTGCGCGGTTAGCCGTGAAAGAGACACAACTGTGAGAATACGAGGCGGCAAGAAAGGACAAACTGCACCTGATGTCCAGAATATGTTGGAACTCTGGGGGGAAATGGCGTCGTAGCATCTGACGGTGATGGTGCAGGCGAGGAAAACGAGTACCCAAATTGCTGAGCTGCAGACGGCAACCGGGGTTGTCTCCAATCCCCAGGACATTCTTCGTGCAGAGTCAGCGTTCTTCGCGGATATCTTCGGGCGGGACCGATGTGAACTGGAGGAGGATTGGCATCCTGCGCAGGGGAAGAAGCTGAGTTTCTGGGAGGTAGAGGAGCCGACAGCAGTCTGGACGGAAGAGGAAGTGAAGAAGGCCTTCAGCGCAATGGCAGCAAATAAATCTATGGGGAAAGATGGTTTACTGAAGGAGTTATTCGAAGCCCATTGAGACCTGCTAGGGAAGGGATTCATGGCCTTGGCCAAGGACTTCGCGTTGTCAGCGGTTCTTTCGACAGAAGTAAAAGAGGCGGGTTACAATACTGCTTCAGAAGAAAGGGGATAAGGAACAACTCATCAACTACCGGCCCATCACCCTCCTCAATTTCACTTACAAGGTACTGGCACGGGTCGTGGCTGACAGGATGAAGAAGTTTCTGAGCCGGGTAATTTCGCCGGACCAGTATGGGTTCCTTCCCGGGAGGTGGTTGACAGACGCGGTGGGGTTGGTCGCTGATATTATCGACACAGCCCGAAATGACAATGAGGACCGGTTTCTTCTCTTGGTCGATTTTGAAAAAGCGTTTGACTCGGTCTCCCGTGGCTACCTTTTTCGGACGCTGAGGGCGGTGAGATCCCTGATCGATTGGTGCGCTGGATGGAAGGCGTGCATGCGGGAACACAAACACGGCAGTTAGTTAACGGTTGGATGGGGGAAGGAGTGGAGGTGGTTTATGGGGTCCGGCAAGGTTGTCCCCATGCCCCATACCTATTTCTGTGTGCGGTTGAGCCGCTGGCGCAAACGATTCTTAAACGGAAGTTGGGCATCAGCAAGGCAAGCGAGCGGCTGACATACATGGGGTACGCGGACGATACCACCCTGGTCCTGGAGGGAAAGCGGTAGATCATCAGGGCCGAACAAGTGTTAGCAAAGTTCGAGCTGACGTCTGGATTAGCGAAAAACCGGGAAAAATCAGTCATCTTACCACTGGGGAATAACCTTAGGAGGACGACCGGTCGGGCAAACGGTATCCGTTGGGCGGAAGCGGAGGAAGCGGAGCGGCTGCTTGGGGTCTAGGTCACTCCATCGGGAAGCTGCCTGCCAACATGGGAAAAAAACTGCGGAGGATGTAACGGGGAAAATAAAAAAATGGCAGCAGAAATTCCTTCCGACAGCGGCGCGGATGGCGGTGGTCAACAGTTATACGATGCCGAAGGCAGCCTTTCAAGCAGAAGTCTACCCACCTCCGGCAAAGTTATGGGGCACGATCTCCAATACCTTCCACAACTTCGTATCTGGAAACAAGGAAACAGCAGACATAGTGTTTAGGCTCTGGAGTAAGGAGCTGCTTCATAGTCCAAGGAAGATGGGTGGCGTGGGGGTTCATGACCCGGAAATGATTATGGCGTGTCTAACGGCTTGACGAGTAGGGCTGTTGGCGCTGGAGACAAATCAGCTGAAAAAACACCTCATGACGCGGGTAGCGGATCTGCCTATGGGCATCGAGACATTCTTCACCCACAAAAAGCTACTTAATCACAGGGACGGGAAAAGTGCTCGCTGGAAGGTGGCAGTTGAGAATTTCATGAAGACGCCGCTGGGTGATCTCCCGGAGGCAAACACTCGAGAGGCGGTCGAAAGTGAGCAGATCATCTTCAACAAGCGGATTTTGCTGAAAGGGACTACGCCAGTCGGGGGGCAGAAAGATGCGAAGCCGCTGTGGAAGAAACGAATAGGAGACCTGCTCGTGCTTGACGGCAACGGTACTCCGGTGCTCAAAGACTCAGATGTACTGGAGAAGGAGCTGAGCGGAAAGGCATCTGCTAAGCTGGCGGTAAAGGCCTTCGAGGCTACACCCCAGAGATGGAGGGAGCTGCTGCTTAGCACGCCTACTCAGGGCACGCAGGGGGGTAGCTCGGCTGGGTCCTGGAGGGTTTTCCATTCGGCGGGGCGCAACCTTACTGATTTCCCCATCTTCGAAAACGAGGGGATTGTGTTAGAATACTGAACGAGAATGAATGAACTATCAATGAGTTGGGTACAAGTACTAATCCTAATTGGGTTTTAACCCTTATGGTCTACCCCACTACAGCCTACACAATGTAAGCACTTATACGGAAGACTGTGGTGTAACGTGTGTAGTCGTCAACAACCAGCAGGAAGTAGCGCTCGCGGTCCTGTCCATTGACCCGGGTTGGGCCCCACACGTCCATGTGGAGAGTCTGCAGGGGAGCAGTCGTCGGGGGAAACGAGGAGGAGTGAGGAGCGGCGCGCTGCCGCCCCTCGACGCAAGGAAGGCAGGGCGGGGCAGGCGAGGGCGGGAGGGGAGGCGGAGACCTGGGAAGACCAGAAACAAGGAGGCGGGAGTGCATGCCACGAAGGCG